AAGATGATAATTATTCAAGAATAAAATTGTTCAAATTTTTTAATTGTATTTAGAAGAAATACAAATTTATTATTTCTTTATGTGTTTAAAACTATATATGCGAGGAGAAAACTATTATGAAACGTCATATTTATGTAAAAAAAATATGCGCACATGAAATTTATTCAGAATTGCAATTTAATATAGGGAAATTTTATAATACTCTGAGCATATATGCGATGAGATACCGAGTAAATTAATATTCTTACTTTTTTTCTATTGGCAATTCAAATCAATTTCCGAGGACTTCGAGCTCCATATAGTAAATAATATAATTGTAAATGCTCAATCACATCATGTCCTGTTAAAACACAAATTCAACGACAAATGTTAGATATTTTAGAATTTTTCTCATGTTAAAAAGACAAATAAGATAAAGGTGAAATAATAATAAATACATATCTTATACTGTAATAAATGCGAGAAAGTGCAATATTTTTTTATTTTTTTTTTTATTTAAAAGAAACTAGAAAACTATCGTATTTATATACATATAGCACACCTTATGCTTTTATTCTAGGAAATATTGCTTTATCTTTTATGCATTGATTGATTCTTGGAACTACGAAGAATGTATCATTTTCTTCATAAGAGAAATCATAAACAAGCAACTAGTTATTGTACATAGAAGAATATAATTTAAAAGTCTTGTAAGTAAAAATACAAAAATATATAATAGTTTCTAGAAACAAAATTTGATGCATGCGATAATAAAGAGAGAAACTTATATTCATAAATGTATTATTTATTCATCATAAAAAATATGTATATATATATATGCAAAAAGAATTACGTAATTTTTCAATGTTCTATTATATACATATAATATTTATCTTTTTTTTCCACATATATTATTAAATATAGACAATTAATGAATATATAATTCTGTATATTACATCCTGCGCAGAAATATATATACCAACAATAAAGTGTAAAACTTTTTCTTGATATTTCCTTTTTTTTTGTTTTTAGTCAAATTATAAAGAAAAAAAAAATCATTTCTCTCATAACGTTGTAATTCACGATTACTGCATAACCTATCATGCGAGTGTAAGTTTCAACAGCAAGGTCGTATAATAAATGTAATTACAAATTTAACGCCTTTTTCCAATGATATGATGATATATGTACTGACTCTTTATAAAATATGCTTCATACGTAAATGAACTGAGACGAATCACAGAAAAATCGACTTATATATTTTAAGCGCGAAAAAAGGTCGCTTATAAGAAAAGTCAAAACAAGTTTCTAATACCCGAACAAAAGGACAAGACGTCTTCTTATTGTCAGTCCCCCACGGCTTTCGTCTCTATTTCAGTTTCTCCTGTCTGGTTTGCACTTATTTTTTCTTTTCAAATTTTTTTTCCTCAACTTTTTTTTTTTTAATCCTTTTTATTCATTTTCATTTAGACGATTTTTTTGTACTGGTGAGCTCGTGTCAGATTTTGAGAAGACAATGATTAATCGATTTCTCTTTGTCTTCTGATAATGAGATTTTAGTTTGCGTATCAGATCAATATTGTATTATTATATATACTTTGTACATAATAAAAGAATATTTACGACTATCAAAATTATCCTATTATTTACGCACAGAAATATAATTATTAATTTCTATTAAATTTTTCGATAAAAAGTAGCAAAAAAATTTTGAATGAATTTTTTTTTAAATGTGCGTTTTATTTATATATCCATAAATTCACACTTGAATCATGTTTTGTGATATAAACAAATGTCAAACGTTTCTTTAGCTTTACGGTTCGTAAGAGTTGCAGCCAAGCCCATCCTCTTTCATAATATATATATATATACACATAGGAAATAATACTTACATTAACACACTTAAGCTTATATGAAATTATTCCTTTTCCGTTTTAAAAAAAATACTATATATATAAAATTACACGCAGTGAAATTAGAATCATTAATAAGAAAACAAAAATTTTTTGATTGTCCTCTAAAAAAACGTTTATGGTTCTCTGAGTTGTTCTCATAACATTGTATAAACAGTGACAAACTAACTAAGTGACTAATTATCTATTTTATTTTGTAACAATCACACATTTGTCATATAATTTTTTTTTTATTTGTAGACAAAAATTCCAGTATCTTTCATTATACGTAAAAGAACGTTAAAGCAAATGAATAGTTATTAGTTATACAATATGTTTTTTTTGCAACATCCTGTAAAATTGACACCCATTTTATATACATTTTTTTTATTACAAATAATAATTATTTACATGTTAGATTTATATATACGGTTGATTCTTCTAAAAAGGAACCGTTTTTGTTTGAAAAAAAAAAAAAATTCATTAATAAGTTCTAAAGACTTTCAAGAATAAAAATAGAAGTTGCTCAAAATTAATTTCCAAAAATACGACCTCAAAAACTGTTTAACGTTTAATCAATTAGCTATTATACTAAATATAACCTAAAATTTTTTGCCTTTAAAATCTCTTTTCTTGTGGAGCGTCACATAATAAAATTATATTACAATTTTTATAATTACACGTAATTTTAATTAATTTTTATAATTATGATAGTAAATTTTTATACTTTAAGGTTATGTGATTTTTGTGTTTTTACATATAAATTTTTTTGCAAAATACGTAGATTTAGCTAAAATTTTGTAAAGATCTCAAACATAAGTAGAAAGATTCGTTGATGTATCCAGAGAATATTAATATTTTATCAAAAAATTTATTATTAAAAAATTGGATATTTAGATAAATTTCAATATGGCGGCAGTACGATTTCAGTCATTTGTCAAAATAAGTAAAAGTACAAATAGTAAAAGTATTAATAGTTATTCAATTAAATATTAAAGTATTAAGTATTAGTAAAATATTAAATATTAAAGTAAAGTATTAAGTATTAAATAGTAAAAGTAAAAATGAATGATTGATTCCATTATCACAATTCATTTCAGTCCATTTTTCATCCATCATAATTCACAAATTCATCAAGTACAATTAAAATAGAATAAACGTTGGAAAACAATAGAGATTGGAGTCATCGACAATAGCATGAATATAACTAAATTCCAAAAATCACAAACAATCATGACTATTACAAATAAATTATACATCACATTTCAATAAATAAAATATTAAAACATTGAAACTATTAAATAAATTGATTAAATTAAAAAGATTTAAAAAAAGTTGCTTTTAAAATATAATTATTTAACAATTTCTTCATATTTATAAAAATTTGGAATCAATAAAGCAAACTTTTTGAGGTTAGTTTTCTAGAAAGTTAAATATTAAGGAAAATGTAAACATATAAAATTTTGTGTCAATTATATCAGTTTCTAAAAATTGTATATTAATTAATTTATTAGTGATGTATGAGATAATTAAAATCTAATTTAAAAATAAAGGGATTTAATTTTTATTATTAAAATAGTGTAAGTTACACCATAAAAGAAATTGTTGCATTTTTGACTTGAAAATAAAAAATTAAATGCTTTGTGGATTGGTGTATAAAAAGGAAGCAAAAGGTATTATAAAGAAAAGTAAAAAGGTAACAAAAAAAAAAAAAAAAAAAAATGAGAGAAACACGAGGTCCGACGTCGCGACAACACACAGGAATCGGTTTGTAGGTATGCCGATTGTGTTTCGTCCTCTACTCTCCTGAAGCTAGAAATTTGCCGACGTGCTGGACACGAGAAATGCGACTCCTTTCCGCGACAATCGATTCTTCGATAATATCGCTCTCATTTGTCAACCAGCAGGCCGTTTAAATGCAAATGAATCCCAACTATAAGTCCCAAAAGGCGCAAGGATATTTGATTACTTTATTCACTATATATAAACAAAAAAACAAAAGTTGTGAATTATGATTTATTTTAAAATAAAAAAAAAATTTTCAAAAACAATCAAAATTTTAATAACCTACTCACATTGTTGTATTTCTTATTTTAAATCTTAAATTAACAAGAAAAAAAATTATAAACTTACACGGAGAAAAATTAATCTCTACATTAGAATCTATAAATATAGGCTAACGCAAAATAGAAACGTAACCAAAATCTAACCGCAAACGCAACCGGAATAATGAGTTGGAGAAGGACAAACAATGTCTATCCTTTTCTTTCTGATTCTTCCGGTTGCGTTTGCGATTTCGGATTACAGTTATTTTTCTCTTCTATTCAGGCTTTATTATGCGTTGACCTTTACGTGTGATTTCACCCTAAAAATTAGACTTGAAGTTTATTATAAATCAAAGAATTCGAAATTCCCTAGGTATGTAGCAGACAGGTGTATGTGAAATATGTTTGTCCCAAGAAAAAAAAGTTGTGAAATGAACACTTTTTTGATAAAAATACCAGTTTAGTCATTAATATTTTTTACATGTAAACATAATTAAAATTTTTGATAAAAGAACAGGATATAGTTCTTACGGATTAAGAAGAGATTTTTCTTTTGTCTATAAATTTTGATATAAAGTCCTCGGTCCTAATGTCGCTAAAACTAGGTAAAAGTCGAATGCCACCTGCCAAAATACCTTTGTCCACCACTTGTCATTTGCTCCTATTGTTTTCAAGGATTCGACTGTGAAATCGACGAAGTGCAGATTTCTACCTGCAAGCATAACAAATTTCTTTTAAGGACGTTACAGTCCTCTTCTCTTTTAGTATTCATTTTTCTTTTGGATTTCCCACTTCAAAGATAAGATCATCTTTTCTAAATTTGTTTAAAGTTCTGGAAACTGAAATCCTTCAAGTAATATATGTATAACAGACAGCGCGTGTGCGCTTTCAATATTTTCAAGTATACTCGTGGCCAGATATGCCTAGCACTTTTTTGTCCTTTTCTAACGCATTTGTTGCAATGACAACATGTAAATTAGAAAAGGACAAAAAAGTGTAGTGTACAAAAATGAATAACTGATACAATAAACAACAGAGGGCAGTTGCTCACATAACTATATGCTAGGTCATTGATACACTTCTATTAATATATACATTTGGTTGAATCTTGTTGTCATTATTTTTTTCAGTAAAGAAGGTATAAATTAATGCAAAAAGATGAGTAAAAGTAGTGCAAATTAATAACTCGAATCTAGTCAAAATGTGTACAAAAGGTAAAAAAAAGGTAATAAATCGAAAATTGTCTCACCAGTTTAGGACAAATTAAATTGCTGTTTGGATCAAATTTGAAAAATGTATTAGTACAGTGATCATTAAAAGAAATTATCAAAAAGTATATCGCAAAACAAAATTTACATTTCAAGTTTCTCTATGATTTGTGAATTATAAAATAGCAACAAGAGTCAGTAAATTTTAGGTTATTTGATTCTTCGATCAAATAAATATATATGCAAGTGCAATATTAAACGTCATGAAATTTAAGGTTATGTGGATATTTGGAAAATATAACGGAGAATATTATTCGTGAAAATGGAAATTAAGGTAAATAATAAAAATTATATAGTGAATAGTAATTCATTAAAATAACAGTTTTGTTCAACACTAATATTTGGATAATTAAAATTTATGATAATTTATCATTTAAATAGAGGCGCATGATTTTTCCCAAAAATTAAAAAGGTCGAAAATTTAATTGATCGAATTACATTAAGTCGATATTTTATTTAAACGAAATTATAAATGATCGATATTTAAAATGGTCAACATTTTATTCAGTCAATATTTTATTTATTCGAAATTCGAAATGATCGATATTTAAAGTGGCCGATATTTTATTTAGTCAATATTTTATTTTATCGAAATTCTAAATGATAGACATTTATGAAAGTCGATATTTTATTCGGTCGAAATTCTAAATAACCGACATTTATGAAGGTCGACATTTTATTTAGTCGATATTTTATTTGATCGAAAATCTAAATTGTCGATATTTAAAGTGGTCGACATTTTATTTAGACGATATTTTATTTGGTCGAAATTCTAAATGATCGACATTTAAAGTGGTCGAGATTTTATTAGTTAGATATTTTGTTTGGTAAATATTCTAAATGAACGACATTTAAAGTGGTCGATATTTTATTTGTTCGATATTCTAAATGATAGAAATTTAGAAGCATCGAATTTTATATCCATCGAAATTTAATTTGGTCGATATTTTAAAAGCTCGACACTTTTTTAGCTATACGAGTTTCCTTTCTATGAAGTTTGTCGGTACAGTACATTGAAATTTTGCGGAAAATTTGAAATTATTGATGTAAATAATAATAACAACATAGAGAGGAAACTCGTATAGCTAAAAAAAAATGTCGAGCTTTTAAAATATCGCCTAAATTAAATTTCGATGGATATAAAATTCGATGCTTCTAAATTTCTATCATTTAGAATATCAAATAAATAAAATATCGACCATTTTAAATGTGGATCATTTAGAATATCGACCAAACAAAATATCGAATTAATAAAATTTCGACCACTTTAAATGTCGATCATTTAGAATTTCGACCAAATAAAATATCGACTTAAAGTAATTCAATCAATTAAAATTTTGAACTTTTTAATTTTTGGGAAAAATCATGCACCTCTTTAAAAACTAATTATATGCAATATGTTAAATAATATAATATAACAAATAAAATTGATATTCGTGTCAATAAAAATTTTTGACAAACAGTATTTATTAAATAAATTTTACGTTATGTATAGTTATTCACAAAATCAATAATTACAATAAAAATAAACAAAAATTATGCTAAAGTATTTTTCGACAAAATAAAAATTTTGAGAGAATTTCAAAAATTAGAATAATTCGAGTATATAAAAATTATATTTTTAACGGTATTTCAAAAAAAACAACATAATAATAGTAATTTGGATATAATGAAAATTTTAAAAATTGAAATTTGGATAATAATTATTCAATAATGAATAATTTTTAAATATTCAAAAATTTCTTGATGTTTGTAATTGTAGAAACGCGAATAAATGAATAGAAAATGGAAATAAAGAGAAAAAGAAACACCAGGCATAAAGAAGAGAGAAATCGAGATACAAGAGAGAAAACTATTGTCTTCTCTTATTTTTTTTCTTTCTTCTAGATTTTTCTTTTGTGAGACTGCATCCCTTAAGGGATGCCGTCACAGCGGTACTAGGTACTCTTCTTCTTCTCTCTCTTTCTTTTTCCTGATAGAAGCCGCGCGTTGTTTTTCTGCGACCCACATTCCGGGCATGTCGAGCATCGTCGGGGATTTTGCTATCCGTCACTCATCCACCAGTCATTTGATCGACGTGTCGATACCTACCCCAAAAGGCTATACTTTAGGACTCTACCTAAACGGAAAAACCCATGTTGCGGAAATCCTAAATCTCCTTTTGCAAAGACGAATGGACCTGCGATGTATTTCATATATATTAATCAGTCTCTTGCTCTAAATCTAGAATAAAGAAGGGAAACTCCTTCGTTAAAAAAAATATATATTTTTTTTTGTTTACATTTGTATTACTTTCAATATATAATTAAAATTTTGATTCATTTTTTCCCATTTTTTTTTTATTGTCAAGAAGTAAGATGGTTTTTTTCAATTTGTTTTTATGAATTTGAATTTATATTCTAAAATAATATTGAGCTGGATTAATTTTCTCTTTTTACAGTTTTTAATGAATTATAATTTTGTACAAAGTTTTATTCATTATTAGGGAAAATATGTCAAAATAATTGATTTTAATTTATTTTTTTAAAAATACATTTTTTTAAATCAAATAAATTTTTTTTAAATTAAGTAAAACTTTTTATCAGGGCTGCAATAATTTAAATTAAAGATTATCAGGTACATTCAAAACTTTAGAATGCATTAGGAACCGAGAAGGCTGCCAAATTATTTTTATTTAAAGTATTATTACATTTCAAAAATTAAAAAAGAAATTGTTACAGTTAATGTCAAAAATATCAGAATATATATAGACAAGGAGTTTTTGTTAGTTGGATAGAAGATGTTTAAAAATTAAAAATAAGTTTTTTATTGTTGAGCCAAAGAAACATAATATGAAATATAAATATTCTCTAACAGCGTCATAAGTTTTTATAAAAGTAATTTTTATTATTAAAGTTTATGTACGTAGTATAAAAATTTTCTAAGTAAAAACGATATAAAAATTGGAATTATTTTATAACTATTTAAAAATAAACATTTAAAAAGTAACAAAAAAAATTAAATTAAATAAAAAAAAACATTTCATAAAATTCCTACAATTTTTTAAAAATTCGTCCTCCATATTGGATCCGCCATTTTGAATTTTGAAAAATTGACTTCCGATTATTAATCAGCGACCCCAAAAATCCCCGAGTAACAATTTTCAAGCCGATCCAAAAGATTTTTTATTTTTTCATCCGATATATTGGATCCGCCATTTTGAATTTTGAAAATCTAAATTCAGATTCGTAATGAGCGGTCCCTAAAACCCCCAACAATTTTCATGAAAATCTAACAATTTTTAAAAAAATTTCTAAAAAATCATGAAATTTTCAAAAAATTTGTCCATATTGAATCCGCTATTTTGAATTTTCAAAATATGACTTCAGATTCGTAATCGATGACCTCAAAAACCCCAAAATACCCAGTTTCATATAAATCCATCAATTTAAAAAAAAATCGTATACCACCAAATATGTGAAATGTTTTTTGAGGTTAGGAAGAAACGTACACGTGCAGGAGCAAAACGGACTTCAGATTCGTGTTGAGCGGCCAAAAATACATGGGAATAGGGTACTTTGATCTCCCAACCCTGGCACTTTTCTTTTTGTGCGGGGGTGTATTATATATGCTTGATAATATTACTTCAGAGCGAACATGATCAATGTTGCAAGAATATTGCCTCAATATTTTTCAAATAATTTTTTTTGGTATATACTTCATAGTGGGACGCATGATTATATTCTAAAAATCATTAGTTAGAATTTTCATTTTATGGAATTTCATATATTATCCATAAAATTGTGATCGGTTGGTTTTAAGAATTGCGCCAAAATCTTTCTGTCGCTGGTTTGTTCGGCTATTTACAATTTCGGACAAATGAAAATTCTATCAATTAGAAATTCTGTTAAATGATTTTTCGGTTAAGTAAAAATTCTGTAGTATCTGTAGTATGAAAAATCGGTTATATAAAAATTCCAATTAGTATAACTATTACAGAAGCAAACTTTAAAAAGAATATGGATATTTTTTCTTCATTTGAGTCACTAAGCAAAGAATTAATAAACAATCAAAAAATTTTAAAAACAGTTATTAAAATTTTTTGAGGTTTATATCAGACAGTATCTAACTGTTATCGAAAAAAGTATTAATGTATTTAAAATAAATATTAGAATTTCAATTATTTATGTTAAATTTTTTGTTTTTGATTATAAGTATATATATAAGAATTCTCGAGTCCCACTTGGAGTATTGCAAGAAAGAATGAGAAAATTTACCCTGATAATCAAAATCGAAGAGCAATACGAGGAGATATTTGCAGAGCGAAGTCGGTCGAGTAGAAGTGCAGAACTGCAGGTATTCAGGGTGGCGAAGGGAACGGTGTGTGCCTGAACGCGGCGGTCCGCTGCGGCCACATCAAAGCATCCACCGACTGCTGGGCTTTGGCTTCGACTTTCCATGTGTGCGTGAATAATCCAACAGGCACGCATGCACGCCCGTGTGAGACCGGGATTCGATTCCGGTCGAACCGGTGTCCTTTCTCTATGTCTATATATGTGTACAACACCAATATGTATATCTATATATGTATTTATGTGATCTGGTATACATATACAAGTCGGGAGCATCCTAATCTATCAGCCATTGAACATGACCATCCGTCAAATAAAACCGATTTTTAGACCACAAACTGTTATACTTGTATTCTCAAAAGTGTGCCATTCCGTAAAAAAAGATTTTTTTTTTTATTTCAAACACAAAAGAAGAATATTGTTGATTTTATTTAGAATGTAAAATAATAACGTTTGAAAAAAATACATAAATGTATTAAAAAAATTTCCAAGTATACTACATATATAAAAATTTAGCTCTGGTTTGTTTAACAAAAATTTTTGATTAAATTTACCAGAAATGTAAGTAGCATTTTTTAACTAGATTTTCTAATATTTCTAACTAGAATTCTAGTTATTCTAACCCAGACATTTTTTCGGTGATATACACGCAAAGAAAAGTTGAATGAAGTTATATTTTATACCCACATAGCAAGCTTTGATTAACGAGTATATGACAAAACTGAATCTATAACATTGGCATAAAAATTTTTATGCTTCAAATAAAGCGGGGTAATTAAATATGTTTTTGACATTGTCACTTATCATTTGCTTTGGTGTGTTTTACCTGTAATGAAAGTACAATGCAACATTAAATATAAATTATAACCCACACCGAAAATTACCCGAAGATTCATTGAATGTTTAAAGGTTAACTTGGGAGTATTGAATCGCCTGGTTCAGA